ACTGCCCCAGACCCGACAGGCCCACCTCCATCAACAACCAGGAGCTGCGGCTCCCGCCAACAGGCGCCAGCCAATCAGCGTGCGCCTGCGTCAGTGACGTCACCGGCTGCCGGGCAGACTCCTCTGCAGCGAGGAACCAGCCAGCTGGGCTTGGCCCGGGTCCGCTGAGCCGCCTGGGTCTGGAGCCTCAAGGGCAGAGCCTGGCAGAAATCTTAGGGAGCAGTTCTATTCTGTCTCGTGGCCTCCCAACAAGCCTGAATCGAGTGGACAGCACCCACAGGAAGGGTTTGACAAAGAGCAAAGGACGGAGGGTCCGGAGTGGCGTGTGCACCCCGCGAGCCTCTCCCTCCCACCACCACCCCACCCCCTGTCCCCAGGCCAGGCCGCCTACCTCAGTGGCAAAGAAACCTTTGGGCCGGTGTTTGCCCAGGGACGCCAGGCCACCAGGCCCAGGCCCCTCACTGGCACTGATGGTCTGCTGAGCTGCGGCCAAGATTTCATCCAGTTTGTCTAGAGGGGGGCGGGAGGGGGGTGGGGAGAGACAGTGAAATGAGCCGGCTCTGGGTTAGCCTGGAGGCAGAGCTGCGGGTGGCCCCACACAGCCAGGAGACAAAGGGCCCCTTCTTCCATCCCGGTGGATGGGGTGGATGGACGTGCTCCCAGCCCAAGAGGCAGGACGAAAGGAGGGTCCCCCGGTGCGGGCGGAGATTAGGACAAGCCGGTGCAGGAGGGAAGGAGCGGGAAGGGGAAGTGGGGTGAGGGGTGAGGGACGACGACTTTTGGGAGGGCGCAGGGGTTGAGGCCAGAGGAGGGTGGGCCTGCATGGACTCAGCATGGCTGGGTTAGGAAGGTGTTTAGCATGCAGGTGGCTGAGGATGGCAGCAAAGAAACGGGGAGTGGATTGGAGTGGGGAGTAGGGGGTCCCACAGGAGGCCTGGGCACGCAGGGGCCGGGGCCAGGGCCGTCTTACTGAGAGCCATCTGGTACACGGTCCGTTTTTTCTCCATGCTGGGCATCGGTGCAGACTGGTGGTCGTACTCTGTGGGCAAAGAGTGCGGATGAAGCCCAGGGGCGCCCCCTGGCGGCAGGGCGGAGCGGGCTCGGCCAGTGGGCGTGGTCAGTGGGCGTGGCCAGTGGGCGGACGCAAGCGCGAGGGGGCGGGGAGGGGCGGGGTCCGGCCGCGGGCCCTCCCTCCAGTCCTGTGCCCACTCACCACTCTTCTTCTTCCAGGGGGAGACTAGCCCAGGGGAAAGGCGGTAGAGGAGCCAAGAGTTAGGACGTCGGGCAGAGCGAGGGGCCCCTCTCTGGAACTCCCGCCTCCCCTAGGGCCCTGGGGTGGGGGCGGTCAGCTGCCCGGCCCTCCCCCTGTCAAGGGAGTCGGGATGCCCCGGGTCCACTTGGCTCTGGAGGGAGGGGGCTTGCCTTCCTGTCTGTTGGTTGGAGGTGGGAGAGTAGGGTGGGGTGATATGGAGAATGGGGTGGGGGTTGGGGTGGGATCAATGGAGATGAGCGAGAAGGAAGAGAGAGAAAGAGAGAGAGAGAGAGAGACCGCCAGAGAACAGACGCACAAGTGGACAGACTCAACTCTGAGACATTCCTCCCCACTGACAAACATACACAAGCACACCAGAGAGGGCCTGACCATGGATTAGGGGACAGGATGAGGACAAGGACCCCAGGTCACTAACGACACTAACAAACTCGGGGAAAGCCCCCTGCCCCACTCCTCGTCCCTGTCCCCCGGCTCCAGAACCCAGCCAGACTCACCCATATCCTCCAGTTCCGAGGTCATGGACTTGGAACGTAGGGAGATGGCCGGGGGTGGGAGCCGCTTTGCCTGCTGGGGTGCTGGAAAGGTGAAAGGGAGGGGCAGCCATCAGCACTCTGGGGGGGGGAGCCCCCACAGCCCCTCCCTCGGTGCCCCTAGAGCTCAGAGACCAGCCACCCCAGCCCCACCCCCACTGCGTGGTTCTCTGCACCCAGAAGGGTCACAGACGAGCAGCCCTGTTGGGGAAGGGGTGGCTGGAGGCGGGGACCAGCCGCTGGGGCTCCTGGGGGGTCTCAGACTCGTGGCAGTGGGGTGCCTCGGGGCCTGGCCATGCCGGTGGGAGGGGGTCGGAGCACCTTTCTTGTGGACGGCCTCATCCATGTCCGGGTGCCTGGTAACCATCACCACCTTGACCATCAACGTGTTGCCTCCTTGGCGGATCATGTTCACCACCTGCCGGTGGCCCACCTTCACCACGTTCTGCCCGTTCACCTGGGGCACCAGTGAGAAACCCAGTCACCGTCCAGTCACCTCCAGCTCACGGTGACCCAGTGTGTCTGAGCAGAACCGTGTTCCACAGGGATTTCAAAGCCGGGATCTCTTGGAAGCAGATCACCAGGCCTGTCTCCTGAGGCGCCGGAGAGTGGATTCGTACGGCCAACCTTCCAGTCAGTAACCAAACGCTTAACCATTTCCACTACCGAGGGACTCCATACACGTGGCAGACACCACCAAACCACACCAGGCAGCTGAGGGAAGGAGCCTTTCAGTCCCAGAGTCCCCAGTGAGGTGGCCTCGCACCCTGCCCTTTCCACAGCCCCAGTGTCCCCACGCGTCTTCCTGGAACCCTCCTAGCCTCTGGGTTGGGGCGGCAGCTCTAACCTAGTCCCATCTCTCCCTGTGTGTCCTCCAGTGTCACGTGTTGGGGGACAGCTCTAAGGAAGTCTTCTGAGATGCTCCCCAAAGGCCTTTAAATGGAATCGCTGCAGAAGCCAGAGGCTGGCTGGGAGGTGAGCCAGGGAAGCCTGGTCCCAAAGAACTTGTGACTGTCAGACAATCTGATCCCGGCGGAGATCCTAAGGGGCCTGGGGATGATGGACCGGTCTTCTGGGTCTCAGGAGAGGCCCCCAAGAGAGCCAGGCAGGGCTGTGGGAGGTGAGCTGGGGGCTAGGGCACCTCCCTGGGTGGATTGTATGCTGTTAGAGTTGATCTGGACTCGTGAAGACCTTATAGGACAGGGTGGAACCACCCCATAGTGTCTTCTAGGTTGTCATCTTTATGGGAACACAAAGACACCAGGGTTTCCTCCCATGGAGCTGGTGGACGGGTCTGAACTGCCAACCTTTCCGTTAGCAATGAAGCACTTAACCACTGCGCTACTGAGGCTCCTAGTAAGTGCTGTGGCGTGAAACCAACTCATTGACAGAGTTGAACTGCCCCACAGGGCTTCCAAGCTCCAACCTGACTGAGGCAGATTGCCAGGCCTTCTGGAAGTACGTCACCTGGTCTTCCTTCCAAGGCTGGGCTTGAACCGCCAACCTTTGTGTTAGCAGCTCATCACGTAACTGTTGCCCCACTTGGCCCCAAACTCACCTCGATGAGGAAGTCGCCCATGCGCAGTCCGGCTCTCCAGGCCACGCCCCCCTCGTCCACGGACTCCAGATACTGCAGCGCCGGGAAGGCCGGGGTGGGGGTGAACTCTTCGATGGGGGTCTGCGCTGCAGATGGGGAGGAGCCGGCGGGGTCGGAGGGGAGGGGGTGGAGAGGCCGAGCAGGGGACGGGGCTCAGACCCAAGTCCCGGAGGCCTCACCCGAGCTGAGGGACCAGCACCCCGGGGCGGGGTGGCGGGAGGGCTGGGGGTCCCTCCCCTTCCCCTTTCCACGCCCCCCTTGGCCCTGCTTCCTTCGCCCACCCCCCTCCCCGGCCGGCACTCACCCTTGGCCCCCCGGAGCACGAACCCAAACCCCTCGCTGTCCTTCTTCTGCAGCAAGACGGTCTTCTCCTTAATGATGTAATCGCTGGGGGCGGGGCAGGGTGGAGAGAGGCCCTTGAGATTTGACCTGGTGCCTCACCTGCAGCCCGACATGGCCAGCTCCAGCGCCGCTGTGGCACCTTTGGGATCTCGGGCACCCACTCCCTGCGCTCAGAGCAGCCTGACGGGCGCCCCCTCAGAGCTCATGGTGCACTCACTCCCGCTCACTGTCACGGTCACTCAAGCACGGGTGCAGCCAGCCACGGTCCAGTCAGCAAGCAGCTTCCCAGCCCACTGTGCGCTTGGCACCTTGCGAGGGACCAGGGAGGTGAGCCGGTGGATTCCCAGGGGGCCTGGCTAAGTCCCCGCTAGCCACTTCCTCTCTGTGACCTTGACCCCTTGAGCCCTCCACTTTCATCTCTGGTGCCTGAGTTTCCTCGTCAGATCAGAGACCCGAGGAAGCAGAACTGTGCTCTGCAGGGTGTCCCGCGGCTGTTTGTTCGGATGTTAGGTTCTCAGGGTTTTCTCCCCAGGCACCCCTGGGTCGGTTTGAACTCACCACCTTTTGGTAGCAGCCCAGTGCTTAGCTGCACATACCCCCCAGGAACTACTATTAAAAAAAACAAACAAACAAACAAAAAAAAAAAACTCACTGCCATCAAGTCAATTCCGACTCATAGAGACCCCCGTTGGGTTTCTGAGGCTGTAAATCTTTACGGAAGTAGATTGCCCCATCTTCCTTCCATGGAGCTACTGGTGGGTTTGAACCACAGACCTTCTGGTTAGCGGTCAAATGCCCTGCCCACTACACCACCAGAGCTCCTTAGGGATGGCTAGAATGGGGCCCAATACCAGACCTTGGATGCAGGTGCTGGGGACTTGGGAGGGGTAACATACAAATGATAACTTATCACGCTGCCTTACGCCCAATAGGATTCACTTCTGGTTCTCACATCCAAGTATTTTTAAGCCCAAAAGACACACATACTCCAATAATGCCTCCCCCCCATTCCTGTGTTGTTGCTGTTAGTGGCTCAAGCTGGCCCTTGAATCATGGCGGCCCGTGCACGGTGGGATCGGACCATTCTGATCTGGGGTGTTCTCACTGGCTGATTTTCGGAAGCAGATCACCAGGTGTTTGTCTGGAAGTTCCTCAGACACCTGTTCAGCATGGGAACACCTCGCCATCGCATGGCTGGCGGCTGGCCTCAAGGCCAAGGATCAAACCCAGGGCCCCCCCCGGGAGGCAAAAATTCTGCCCCAGTGCCACCACTGCTCCCCGACTGCTCTACTTTATATATAGATAAGCAGTCTGTCTGTCTGTCTGTCTATCCCAGGAACACCGCCTGACGTCCGCAAGCTTATCGTAACATCGCTTATCCTGCACTGTCCAACAGGGTAGCCACTAGCAACGACGTGTGACTCTTTATGCTGAAATTAACCAAAGCAAACTGCCCTCGAGTCGGATCCGACTCAGAGCGACCCCTCCTTGGGTTTCCGAGGCAGTATCACTATGGAAGTAGATTGCCCAACCTTCCTTCCGAGGAGTGGCTGGTGGCCTTGAACCTCCAGTCTTCTGGTTAGCAGTCATGTGCCTTAGGCACTACGCCACCAGAGCTCCTATGCTGAAATTAACTAACATCCAATTTAAAAGCTCAGTTCCTCTGTGTCACTAGCCACATTTCAACACTCCCGATAGCCACATGTCATTAGCGGCTACCTCACTGGACAGCACCCGTACAGAACACCTTGGTGGCCACAGAAGTTGGACAAGCCTGACTTATATCCCCTGCAATATCTCAAACACGTCCAAGCAGCCAATATAAACATATTAAACCAAACCCACTGCCTCGAGTCGATTCCAATGCATAGCGACCCCCATTGGGTTTCCAAGGTGGTAAGTCTTTACAGGAAGTAGACTGACCCATCCTCTTTCTGTGGAGTGGCTGGTGGGTTTGAACCTCCAACCTTCTGGTTAGCAGTCAGATGCATTTTAGTAAAATGCAAACTACCTGTGCACATGCTGATAAAAAAAAAAAAAAGCCATTGAGTCGATTGTGATTCCTGGCGCCCCCACGTGAGTTAGAACAGAACTGTGCTCCACGGGGTTTTCAGCGGATGGTTTTTCAGATCTTTCTAAAAGCTCTGGCAGGTTGGCAGGCCTTTCCTCCAGCCCTCTGGTTATTGATTGACTGCTTAACCATCTGTGCCACCCAGAGAGACTCCTGCCTACGCACATACCAAAACCCAACCCAACCCACTGCCGTCCAGTCGATTCCGACTCACAGCAACCCCCACAGGGTTTCCAAAGTTGTCCATCTTTAAGGAAGCAGACTGCCTCACCATCCTTCCCGGGAGTGGCTGGTGGGTTTGAACCACCGACCTTTTCGTGGGCAGCCCAACGCCTTAGCCGCAGTGCCACCAGAGCTCCTCAATTCACTGCCGTTGAGTCAGATCTGACTCATAGTGACCTCCTTGGGTTTCCAAGGAAGTAGATTTTCAAGGAAGTAGATCACTATGGAAGTAGATTGCCCAGCCTTCCTTCCGAGGAGTGGCTGGTGGGTTTGAACTGCCGGCCTTCGGGTTAGCAGTCAAGTGGCTTAGGCACTACGCCACCTAGTAAAATCGCCTAAGCCCACTACTAGCATGTTTAGGTAATGGACACACATCCAGAAAACTGCCATCAAACTGAGATCCGGTCCCTTCATCTGAACACCCACCAGTTGGCTCTAACGACAGCCCAAAAGACCCTGACATCACCACGTGCGGTGCTACCAACCGGACCAGTGCCCCGAGGCACCTCAGAAGAAAACCTAGCAACGTGCTTTCCAAAAGCCAGGGCCACGTGGAGCGTGGCTCTGCTCTGCACACACAGGGGTCGCTACAGGTCGGAGCTGCCTGGACGTCGGGTGAAGAAATGATACAGGCTGGAAAACCCAGACACCGGCTCCCACCCCACCTGCTTCATAATACCCAGGACACGCAGGAGACGCCAACAGACCGGCCCTGCCCTGCCTGCCGCGCGTGCCAGCACTGTGTGAAACCCCTCCTGGTACACACGTGCCGCAGCCCCACCCCGGCTCCCACACAATCTAGTGTATTCCAGCAACTCCCAGACCCCCTCGGCATATCCCATAATATCCAGGCTGCCCTCACACTCCAGTCATAGCCCAGTGTGCACTCCAGTACCTGCCCCCCCAGACTCAGCAGAACAGCACCCTGAGAATCCCCCAGCGTCTTTAGGCCGCACCCCCACAGCTCCCGGTACACTCAGTAACAACTGCCCCTCACACCGACCTCAGCGCGCTCTCCTAACACGCCCCCTGAACACTTCCCAGTGCACGCCAATAATACCTAATTGTCTCCTGTAAGCCAGCACCACCCCACACGAATCCCTGCACACGCCCATGCCCCCCATGACTCTCATTGTGAAATCTAGTCTTTTCCACCAGAGCAATACTGTGTATGTGGGCAGGTGTTGCACGCCCCATGTCCTTACAGCTCCGAGCTCAGCAACACAGGTGCACACATTACATGCCCCCACCATGGCCCTGACCAAAGCTTAAACCCATAGACACCCTAGAGGCCAGAATGGAACTGCCCCAGAGGGTCTCCAAGGCTGTCAATCGTTACAGAAGCAAAGTCCAAACCAAACCCAATGTTGTGGAGTCGATTCTGACTCACAGCGTCCCTAGAGGACAGAGTGGAACTGCACCACAGGGTCTCCAAGGCTGTGAATCTTTACCATAGCAGAGTGCCACAACTTTCTCCCATACAGTGGCTGGTAGGTTCAAACCAGCAACCCTTTTTTGGGTTAGCAGCCCAGGACTTAACCACTGTGCCACCAGGGTTCCCGCCCAAAGTTTGTTGTTGTTCTTGTTATGTGCCCTTGAGTCAGGCTCGACTCATAGCGACCCCTCCTTGGGTTTCCGAGGCAGTATCGCTATGGAAGTAGATTGCCCAACCTTCCTTCCAAGGAGTGGCTGGTGGGTTTGAACTGCCAGCCCTCTGGTTAGCAGTCCAGTGCCTTAGGCACCATGCAGCATGATCCAATAAACACACTCCTACTTCTGATCATATTATATCTGACGCAGGGGGTGGCCATCTTTGTAGCATGAGGATGTTGGGAGAGAAAGAGGGAAGGGATTTAAAGGGGTGAATGAAGGGGGATAAATGGAGACGGGGAGGAAAGAAGGGGGCCAGGAAGGCTGAACTGTGAGTGGGCAGGGTCAACAGAACGGGTTCCAAGGTCACACCTGCCTGCCCTTGACTGTGCCATCAATGCTGCCCACCCGTCTCCTCACCACATACCCTGACAACCTCCTCCCACTCCTCATGCCCTTACTTTTGCTGTCGGATACTCCTGAGTCAATTCCTGCTCACAGCAACCCCATGGGACAGAGCAGACCTGCCCCATAGGGTCCTTGGCTGTAATCTTCATGGGAGCAGGCAGGTCACCAGGTGCTGCTTCTGCAGAGCCTCTGGGTGTGTTCCAATGGCCAACATTCCGGTTACCAGCCGAGCGCTCAACAGTTGCACCACCTGAGACCCCTGCTACCCCCATCCAAGTCTTGAGCTCCCCCAACAGCCCCAATTTTCCGCCATTTATGCCACAAACCCCAACCATTCCCACATCTATCCCCCTGGATTCCTCCTCTCCCCCCACTTCCTCCCTGTACCCCCATAAATAAAAACAAACAATCTGTCATCAAATGCAGCCTGACTCACGGTGACCCCCCACGTGTGACAGAGTACAACTGCCTCATGGAGCCTTCCTGGCTGTACCCTTTCCAGAGAAGCCCTGGTGGCACAGTTATTAAGTGCTCGGCCGCTAACCCGAAAGGCTGCCCCTTCACAGATAAATAGCTCAAGGGTCTCCTTACAGCTGACCTGTGAAGTGGGTATTGTTACTATTTCCACCAATGGCCATGGCGTCAACTCCCGCTTACGGAGCCCCCCTGTGGTCAGGGTTGAACTGTGCTCCCATAGGGCTTTCAACTGCTGATTGGTTGGAAGTTGTCTGCCAGGCCTTTGCTTGGCAGCACC